AGATGCTATACACTCCCTAAAGGCCCTAACTCAAGTTAGAACCCCTGTCCACGCTTGGTGATGAAAATAATTTCCTACCACAGCTGAGGCTCTGGGTACCATCCCCAGCTTGGAGTGGCTTGGGAACAGGCAGGGTACAGAACACGTTGACTGGGTTCTGAAAAAGCATCGACAACAAAGTTTTAACATTTCTTGAAATAGCTACTTAGGGAAACCTCTTAAGCTCCTGGAAGAGCCATAACTATCTCTGACATTCTTCACCAAGCTAAAGGTTCTGCTTTCATCTTTCAGATTATGGCTGACACAGGGTACAGGTTACGCCTATGTTTCTTGGCAACTGGGGCCTTATGTAGCTCCAAAGCCCACTGCAGGAGTATGTATAACATTTTCGCTTCCAATTCCTGTTTGTTATTCAATAAAGGAAAAACTGGATCTTTCTCCCACACCCTGCTCTCTACTGTCCCCACACAGCTCCATGCCGCAGATGTTCACTAGGCTCTATAGACAGTGATGGCTCTCCTCTGGGCTCTGATTCTTTCATATAGGCTGGCCCGCATTGCAGGGGAGAGATGCAGAAGTAAGTTTAAGAAGCCAGGTAGAAAGTGTGGCTACAGTGTCACTAGGAAAACAATCTAAATTGGTATACATATTAGTCCCTACGTTCCGACATCTATTCAAAAGACTTGTTACATCTCAACATCTTTAGAATAGCCACAAAGTAAAGGGAGAATTACAATATTCTACTCGAACACATGCATGTCTTATGTCACAAACACCATGACAAAAATTTGTTTATTATTTTTCAAAACAAAACAGAAAATCATTCACATTTCCATTGTGGTTTAAAGCTGAATTGATATGGCTGATCTGAACTGTCTCCCAGGTTGTCCAGTCTGTACCATGGGTGGATTCTTGACTGGCTGTGACTGTGTCAGAAGAGCTGCAGGCCAGCTTTGAGCCTTTCCAGTTGTCCCGGGCTCCAGAGAAGGCCCTCCATATTGCTGCTACTGCTGCTGTCAGGGTTTTTCCTGATACAAGTTAGGCTTAGAGTGCTGCAGAGAAAGTGGGCAGTCAGTCAGGGAAAGGGAAGCACTAACCTCTGGACGAGTAAAGGGAACTTGACTTGTGTGTGCCTGTAGGAAAGGCCAACCTCCTGCCTGTTTTATAAAGAAAATACAGGAGCTACTGTGACAAGCAATTTCAGGTGAGAGGCAAGGGTGGCTCTGCCCCTCCCCCCCCAGTACCCATCCCCATTAACTTTGTTTCTCATTTTCCAGAAGGTGGTAGTCAAAGAGGTGAGAAGTCCCACTGTCACAGGTTTACTTACCTACTCTTGGACTTTGGAGGTTCTAGCTGCTGCTCTAGTACAGGTTGGTCCAA